TGAAGATCATGTGACACTGAAGACTGGAGTAATGATGCTGAAAATACAGCTGCGCATCACAGGAATACATTACAGTTTAACAGATATTAAAACATATATTACATTGTAATAATATTTCACAATATTACAATTTACTGTATTTTTTTATAAAATAGCCTAAATGCAGCTTTGGTGAGCATAAGAGATTTCTGTGCGTTAGTTTAGTATAACTAAAATACTTTTATAGTTTTTATGAATATTTTGAGAATTTTTTTTAATTTTAATTTTAGTTAAAGTTTTAGTTAATTTGTGTATGTCATTTTTTCTAATTTTTTAATATATATATATATATATATATATATAATATTTATTTCAATTTTAGTACATCAAGTTCAACTAAATGAAAATAAGAAATGTTACAATAAATACAAATACTGAAATATGTTTTTTGTTTCAGTTAAAGTTTATTTTATTTCAAGTAATGAAAATGTGTATATGAGGTTGACATGTTGCCCATTAACATGCTGGCTGTTCAGTAGTCCTTCTCTTCATATAAATATTCACTCCACTAAGTGTGACGATCAAAACGTGCTTGACGATTGAGTGTGACGAACAGCATCATCCTGTAACCTTTTCTTTGCTTTTCCTTTCTGAAAGACTGAGCATGTGTGGAAAGCCGTAGGCGGCATCATCAGAGAACAGCTCTCGGCAGGTCCTGCAAGCTTCATTTAGCAGGAAAACCGTCCAGTGCTGGAAAATATTCCAGCCAAAAACACGCCAGGGGAAAAAGAGCGTCAAGTCAGCAGAAGCCGCCAAAACGGGACGGCTTAAAAATAACCGAATTGAGATCATTTATTTTCTATAGCGGAAAACTGATATAAATAATTCCACATAAAAGTGTGGCGTTAAGGCTGAAGGGAACGATGATTGGTGAGCAGCAGCCGCGATGGCGCCGCTGTTTGAGCGAAGCACACGGGACGTTTCGAGGCAGCGATCCAACGTAAATCAAGACAATGTTGCTTTAGCTTTGACGTGAACGATCCGTTGTGATGCAGTCGTGAGACTGAAGCGAGACAGAACCGAGTTCATAAAAGCATCGAGCCTGAAGTGTGTCATTTTTTGCATGTTACTCATCTACTGTCTTAAAATATCTTATAAAAGGGATAGTTCCGGTGCTTGATTCTGATTGGCTGAGCCGCGTTCGAAGCTGTTGTAAATTACTCTACAAAGTAACATACACCTTTGTTTACGTTTGTGTGTTGCTCGGCAACCACTTTGTTACAACCACAACTGTTTCTGAGGAACTACATTGTTTGGTGGAAGAATACTGTTTTTATTAATATCATTATACTTTATTTGCTCCGTTTTATTTTGTGAAACCTTACTACGTATATGTAATAACCGTTTTATAAAAGCAATAAGCCCCAAGAAGCCGTGGTTTACAGTAAATTTATAACAGCTACAGCTTCTTGGGGCTTATTGCTTTATTAAAAGTCACACATTTGTAGGCTGATTGCTCTAAATGTTTCAAAACCAGTCTGTTTGAGCATCCTAACCGACCCTACACAGCAACACTCGACTCAGAAAACACGTCTCACCTCATCATCCTTGTACCAGGACAGTGATTCGGCCGTCAGGACAAACCAGTACTCCTTAGCGCCGCCCTTCATGATGCTAATGTTATTGATGGTCAGCCAGCCCTTCCTGATCACCTGAAATACATTAGTCATGAAATACTGGTTTACCGCTTACTGCATACTGTACATTATAGTATATACTGCCTTCTGAAAAACAACGATCTGTGTGCAATGATAAACACTTATGAAACCAGAAACATAATATAACAGTGTTTCTGCAGGTCTAAAAAAAGTCTAAATTTACCCTTTCACAATTTAAAGCCTTAAAAAGATCTTAAATCAGAGTCATGACATTAAAGGGGTCATATGATGCTATTTTAAAGATCATTATTTTGTGTATTTGGTGTAACAGAATATGTTGACATGTGAAATCGCATCATATGACCCCTTTAAATGTTGCATGCATTGCAAAAAAAAAACATTTAAATAAACATCCTTAAATCAAGATATATTTCCTGGAGATGCAAAATGAGAAATTAAATTATTTTCTGGGAAATGCAACAAAATTGAGTTCACTGTATGCTTAAAACAAGAACAAATATCTATCAATGGGCAATGAAAACTAGTTTCCCCTTTGATTTAATTTTAAATTTTTGTCAGATATTTGTTCATTTTATCATTCACATCAACAATTTTACAAAAAACAAGACTTTGCTTCTCAAGTAAATGTTTGTTGATTAGAGAATCTTTAGACATTTGCACTGGAAAACGAGAACAATACTGAAGAACAACACTTTTTGATCAGAAGGCACAGTAAAAGTTATTTCCATATTCTAGTGTTTTTGGAGCAAAGCTATTCAAGTCTTAAAAAGTAATGGAGAACTGTGTTTTCAAACTTTGAATTGTTGCTAACAACTCATTGAGCTACATTTACATAATGTAAATGAGACCATACTGACGTATTGTGTGCCCTTCCATTTATTTCTTACATTTTCTTTACTTAGTCTTAAAACGTCTTAAATTTACCTTCATAAAACCTACAGAAACTGATAAATGTATATCAATGTATTCAAGCAGTACATACTTCACATGTGCTTGTAATACTGTAAGGGTCCTTCAGATGTTGCTATCATTAAATCAGATGTTTTTATTCAGCTAGATATGAACATAGTAAGAGTTTAACAAATTTTAACTAACTTGCTCTTGAAGATTCTCTACAAACGTGTGGTGTTTTTATTCATGTGTAGTGAGGTGTGAGTGTGTGTGTGTGTGTCTGTGTGAGTGTGTGTGTGTGTGTGTGTGTGTGTGTCGAGTGCGCGTGAGTGTGCGTGTGCATGTGTGTGTGTGTGTGTGTGTGAGTGTGCGTGTGTGTGTGTGTGTGAGTGTGTGCGTGAGTGTGTGCGTGTGTGAGTGTGTGCGTGTGTGTGTGTGAGTGTGAGTGTGTATGTGTGTGTGTGTGAGTGTGTGAGTGAGTGTGTGTGTGTGCGTGCGTGCGTGCGTGTGTGTGATTCTGGATTGTTGTACTGTGACTCGCTTCTGCCTCAAGTGGACAGATAAATAAATACATCACTAGAAACCATTTAGCAAACAAATCGGGCTCTTCTCTATGAAGTGAGCGCTTATAAAGCTATAATACAAATTATGATATAATATGAATTATAATCTGTATTTTATTTTCTCTTCTGTTCTAATCATGAATTGCTAAGTGAAACAAGTTCAATGACACATAAGACGTCTGAGACAATGAAAAAGAAAAATCTAGTTTTAAACACATATAGCAAGTTCTCTGTATTCATGTTGGATTTCTGTTGTTTTTATTTTCATACCATTTTCAACAAATGATTTAAGTTTTTTATTTACTTTTATTTATGCCATTATATTTGATGATTATTACGGACATTTTCACCATAAATTCTCATTACTGTAATCTAAAAACTTAATAATCTTATTATCATGAAACTCGTGCAATGAAAGTCATCCCGTCTGGAAAAACAATGATTCTTATTGTTATTAAACTCATTACACTACTTAGAAATATTTAAAATAATCTTTCAATTGAAATCATCTTTATTTTATGTATCCATACATGTGTTTAATTGTCGAGAACATAGTACCACAATACAAACAAACAATTAAAATAGCCCTAACATTTTTATACAAAATCTAATTTCTTAATTCTTTTTATTTGGGGGTGAATTATGGCCAGACATGTTCTTGACAGGTTATCACTCTCATCTTAACACAGAACAGTAGAAAAGCTGCATGAAATACTGCAGTGAATGAGTGTTTGGACTTAAATAGAGAACACGCTTGTGGCATGAAGATAAGAAGCAAACCCTCTGTAGTGCACACTATACAGTCATTACGCTTGACTGACATCTTCAGTGACGCTACGGCTTCAGGGAGACACGCAGAAATGAGTTTGATTGTGCAGTGAAAGCATCTTATGCAACCGCTGAATACAGACTCACAGATGTAGACTAGACGTGCATCACTGATGCAAAAGCATGTAAGAGTCCAGTCTTCATGAATTACTGGGATAAACACTTGTGTAACACGTATGCTTTAGAAAACACACAGACGACTTACCATGATTTCATCCTGATGCACCGGCGTAAAACAAGAATAAGAAAAAACATGACAGAAAAAGAGAACACGTCAGTATTGAAAACACAACTGATGCTGTAAAAGAGTATCAAATATATCAAATCGTAAGTGAATCACACCATGTTCTGCGATATATTTTAAGAGAATCAATGTTATGCTGTATTGTGATGAAGCATCCGACTTCCACCACTTATACCAAGCCTTATATGCATTTAATGCGCTGACGCTGTTACAGTTTTGTACTATTCTGCATTGATCTCCTTCACCTATTAAGCATCTGCTGGGGCTCATGTCTCCAAAACACATTTACATCATCTACAGATCAATGCAATGATTATGATTATACAAGTCTCTCTGAACTAAAGATCTGCATCTGCCTTATGATACGGTCATATAACGAGTCTGTGAACAGAACAGGACTTTACACAGTAGGGCTGTCAAAAAAGAATTCGAATTTCGAATATATTTGTCGAATTTAAAAAAAAAATCCACATTTGAATGCAAAAACGTTGCATTCGAATTTAAATGTCCCCTGAAATGCTTAGAAACACGCAGCGTTACTCTATGTGTTGACGTCATTTTAACTGAAACAGGAAGACAGGGCGGGACATATCAAGCAGCCCCGCCCCTTTTTAAAATAGCCAATAGCGTTCGTTTATATCACAGCTTGGGCTAGCGCCGTTGAGCTCCATAAAGCCGCATCTGACAGCCACAATCTCATCCATATTGCTATAAAATATAGCATTCTGTGTAGAATTCAAATAGCTCCAATACATTGTGTGGTCTGCGCCGACTCGCGCATGTGATCCGCTCCGTGCTATCGTGTCTCTGGACCGGAGCAGAGTGTGTGTGCGGTGCGGTGGTTAGCGTGACACAGCGC